CAAGACTGAAAACATAAGCATGACATAAAGTTAAATTTATAATTGTTCATCACATTATTCAGTACAGAAGTATATTAAATATTGTAATTCGTATGTTCAGCTCCTGAATAGGCTAATAAAACATACAAATTTAAAAAGTAAATGTGTTCTCTTATAGGAAAAACTGTGTATAAGTTTAAAAATATTTGAATAAAATGAATTAGAATACATACATTTGGCTCCAAAATGATTAGTTCCCTGTTGTTTATAATACATGAACTAGAAAAATACTATAAATTAAAATGCCTTTTGATTTAAGAAATATGCAAAGAAAAATATTCAAGTAGGGAGAAGTCCTTCAATATGAGAAAGGAAAAAAAAGTTAAAGAACTATTATAACCTTGAGGGATAAACTTTAAAAAGGTATCTCTTTTTTTTTCCCCCCCAAAGCCCCAGTAGATAGTTGTATGTCATAGTTGCACATCCTTCTAGTTGCTGTATGTGGGACGTGGCCTCAGCATGGCCTGAGAAGCAGTGCGTCGGTGCGCACCCGGGATCCGAACCCCGGGCCCGCCAGTAGCGGAGCGCGCGCACTTAACCGCTAAGCCACAGGGCCGGCCCTAAAAATGTATCTCTTTGGGTCTAAAATAAACGAAGAGTCAAACTGCTACTTCTGCACCAGAGAAAGTAAATTAAAGTGTTTTCAATCTTAAAGAGTAGTAATTTAAAAAAGACCTTCTTATGGCAAGATTGATTCTACAGCCCCAAGAAAGTACCATTTTGCTAAGCTTCAAGCAAAAACAGTCTAGTTTCCTGTTGATTTTATGACAACAAGCTTCTCCCTTATTTAAAGCTTTTCTTAAATTCTTTATTTCCAAAAAAAGTTTGGCAATATTTTATAATCGTATAAAATTTCACGTTTTTAAAATGAATTTCATGTAACCCTTGGAATATTTCATTTTCATTGCATTGTATTCTCTGGTCCAGTGTTGATTATCCTTTAGATAATTCTCCCTATTGCTTGAAGGTCTTTTAAGAAAACACTTATGCTCAAGTTAAAAAATCGACGGTGCTTACGTGGAGTTATTTCTGGCTAAAGTTTATTTTTCTCTATTCACTTTTTATTCTGTCCTGCAGGGATGATCAGAGTCGATAATCTTGCAAACTGTTAAACCATCCTTTAAGACAGGAGCTGTTTTGAGTGATCAACAGCAAGTGGAGGAGAGTTTATAGGTAATAAACGCAATATGAAAGGATTTTGCCATTTGCTAATCTCTTTCATAAGCATTATCTCATTTAATCCTTCAATATCCCTGGAGGTAAGCATTGTGATTCCCGCTTTATCATGGAAGAAATTCAAGTCTCAAAAGTTTTATGACTTGCCCGAGGTCATACCAAGTGTCAAGAGGCAGAGCTAGGAAATGACTTCAGGTTTTCTGATTCTTAGTTTATGTTTCTATAAGCAAAGCAATCATGAAAACCTGCCGTAATATCGTCAGTAATTGCTTTGGGTCCCCATGTGGCTTCTCTATTTTAGTTTTCACTTTTCTCTTGTCAAATAAAGAACAACTCTGAACTTAGGTAAGGAGAGACTTTATTCGAAAGCATTATTGCAAGAGGGAGGAAAGGGACTATTGCAATAGGGCGAGCAAGAGAGAAGGGGACTATTACAATAGGAGGAATCTGCGAGCATCTCAAAGCTTAGGCCAGCAGGGCTTTTCTTCAATAAGAAGGAGTAATCAAGGCTGGACAGACCAGGCATGGGGAAGTAGGATGAGTGAGGACGGCATGACTGAATAGTAGATGAATGCTTTACCCTGATGTCAGTCTATTTTTCAGAGGGGCCTTTAAGAAGGGGTTGTCTGCATGCTTAGGCCGAGGCTGGGTCAAAGTTCAGGGGTCTAGGGGAGGAGAGAATCTTAACAAAAGTTTGGTTAACAAGCATTTTTGTTCCAATTGATCAGCAGGAACAAACAATTTAGCTAATCATTCATGAGGCCAAGAATGGGAATTTGGAGGCTCTGTGCCGGCTTTGTGATAGGGAAACACAGCAGCATCTGTGAGTCTAATCTAAATCACAGGGGGAAGGATGGTTTTTTGAAGGGGCTCAAAACATACAAACTTCCAGTTATAAAATAATTAAGTCATGAGGATGTAATGTACAGCATGGTGACGATAGTTAATAATACTGTATTGCATATTTGAAAGTTGCTAAGGGAGTAAATTAAAAGTCCTCATGACAAGAAAAAAAAATTGTACCTATATATGATGATGAATGTTAACCAGAACATATTGTGGTGATCATTTCACAATACATACAAATATTGAATCATTGTGTTGTACACCTGAAACTAATATAATGTTATATGTCAATTGCACCTCAATAAAAATAATAGTTCTTAAAATATATATTAAAAAACGTGTCACTCTTCTGATTTGTAAATATTTTTCCTGAGAAGAAAATGCATGGAAGCCCTGAGATCCATGACAGCCTTCCCATGACCTCTGGCAGAGCTTCCTTTTATTTACTGTATCACACAAGGTGGTCTATGTACTCCTAAGGTCTCTTAATGTGTGTCAGAGTGCGGTTAGCATTTATGAAAAACATTAAGTCCAGGAAAGTTGAATAAATCCCAAATAGACATGAAGCTACTAAATCAAGATAATTTCAGGTTCACTTCACTTTCTCTTCAAATTTCTAACCATAAATATTACTTTGCTTCCGTGTGTTTTTTATTATCTCTTTGGCAAGAGGAAATTGCTCTCCACCTATGGATATTTAAATATCAATATATGTATTATGTTTGTTAAACCACTTAGAATTTGTAAAATATTAATCAAATGTAAAATATCTTTAGTACCTGAACTGGTAAAATAGACTAAGGAGCATTAGCTTGATACAGCCCAAGAGCTCAAATGCTTTGCTGATCTGCAATATTTCAAGGTATATTGGCACATTGGTCGCATGATATTAGAGTTGCTACATGTCAGAATAAGGATAATGTTGAGTCTTCAAAACTTAGCTCATACTTCACTACATTCCAAACCTTTTTTGCACCAACAATACAGCCAATAACTTTTTTCTCTGTTGCCTTTTTTCATAAACATACTTCTGTTATTAACTCACACATGGTCTTGAAGTTTATTTAGTCACATATCTGACTCCCAATTTCAATAAGCTCTTTGAATAAGATATGAGGAAAATACGTCAGGAAATAATACATGACATGTAGGATGTATTTTATACAGATAGCATTATATATACTTTTATTTTCCATGATGATGGCAGTGATTTGTCCAAATAAGTGCTGGATTATCTTAGTTTAATGTCTGTTTCTCTTTATGTCTCAAACCATAAATAATGATAATGTAATAATAATAATGAAGAAAAAGAAAAGTTGTACCGCACATAGTTTAATTATCACTAAACACCTAATAGATAAGTACCATTATTTATATCCAATTTACAGATTAGGAAATGGGCATAGAACAAGCAAAGTCACAAGAACAGCCACATAGCTCAATAATTTGTGCCATTGGCATATACATGTAAGTTATATTAACAAATGAGAACATTGTTTTAGGGCAGGCAAAGGAAAAGCAAAGTCATGTTTTTTTTTTTTGTTTTTTTTTATTATGAAATTTTTGTTGTACATTATTATTTGTCAGTCACCATAGAAGTACATCCCTCTACCCCTTGTGCCCCACCCCCAGGCCCTGGTAACCACCAAACAGTTCTATCTGTCCATGTGTTGGTTTATCTTCCACATATGAGTGAAATCATGCACTGTTTGTCTTTCTCTTTCTGGCTTACTTCGCTTAACATAATACCCTCCAGGTCCATCCATGTTGTTGCAAATGGGATGATTTTGTCTTTTTTTATGGCTGAGTAGTATTCCATGGTATATATATACCACATCTTCTTTATCCAGTCATCAGTTGAGGGACACTTGGGTTGCTTCCATGTCTTGGCTATAGTGAATAACGCTGCGATGGACACAGGGGTCCATAAGCCTCTTTGGATTGTTGTTTCCAGGTTTGTTGGGTAAACACCCAGTAGTGGAGTAGCTGGATCATGAGGTATTTCTATTTTTAATTTTTTGAGGAATCTCCATACTGTTTTCCATGGCAAAGTCATGTTTTAATATTTCTCTAAAATTCTCATTTCTTGCTCCTGAGCTTCCTGGGAGGACCAAATTATATGCACAAGGTTTAATTTTATTTCCTGACATTTTATTTCTGGCTTTAGTTCCTCATTTCCAGTTTGCTGCTTTTGTATTCAGTAGGTATTTTATAATATAAATAATAATAATAAAATTAACTAATATTTATGCAACACTTACTGTGTGTCAGGTACTGTTCTAAGCATTTTATATGTATTGACTCATAATTCTTTCAACTCAAGCCGTCTGACCTCTAATCCATGCTCTTAAACATGACACAATCCAGCCTCTCCTAATAAATGGTATACAACTTTTTTCTTTTGCTTTGCAATGAGGGAAGTATAAATAAAATCAGCTACTACATACATTTTTTAATAAAATGGTGAATATATACTTCCAGTCTTAGTACACTGTAGCCATTATCTATCTACATTTTATATTTTATATACTTATACTAGTAAGTAGGAAAATGGAAAAATATGAACACTAATAACTTAAGCACTTTAATACTGCATTGTCCAGAAAGTCCAGTGACTTTTTCAGGAAAGCCTAATGTTTCTGGAAGTCATATAGACCTGGGCAACAATCATCTGTTGAATATTCACCTTACACAAAGAATCAAATGATCATGGGGGAAAAAGGACACAGTTCTTGCTTATAAATGTTTGAGAGATTGAATGTGCATAGAATTAACATTGAAAGAACTGTTGATACATGTAAAGTTTTTACTCTGCACTCTGACGGGAATAAAAAACCTATTTTTGCCCAGCTAGAATATAACAGATCAAAAATATCATATCAAATAATTATATTTATTGAATGGGGGATTATCACCTTATAGTTTTATTATTTTCTCACTTCTACCTGCAATAATGATTTATTGGATCTTCTTCCTCTGGACCTGGCAATATATCAGGTAAATCTTTGTGCATCTATTATTGATTTGATCCCTGTGTTATTCTTGACATTTCTGAAGATTTTAGCTCCTCCCAGTTCCTTGAATATTTCTCCTCGTTATTATGTGTCTTCACTATAATTTCATACTTTGAATCCCACTCTCTGATCTGTACCTCTCATCATTCCAGATCAGTCTCTTGTTCTTTGATCTCCTTGGAACTCCAATTTGTCTATCCCACCACATTTTTACACTGTCTCACCAGCTTTATGTCTTCTATTCTTTCCTTTTCCTGGTCAATTGTTATAACATGAACTACAGTATTATGTAGGTATAGTATCTCTAACCTTTCTCCCAGTTCTAATTTTCCATTATTCTAAGCTTACATGATTCATTTTAAAACAAGGGGAAAATATGGATCCAGAGAGATGATTTCCCGGAGAGAAACGGAGCAAAGCACTGATAGAAACAGCAACCCTGCATTTATGACCGCAAGAGTCAGTACTTCTGTTCTCTAGACAAAGACGAGTTTAGAAGACCATAAGCAGTGATTATATTGCTTATATGCAGGGCACCATTATTATCTCTAATTGTGGTTTCTGCTTGGGTTAAATGCTTGTGTTTTTTCCATGATATGTACTGTAAGAATTCTGAACTTTTTTTGTGTGTGAGGAAGATCAGCCCTGAGCTAGCATCCATAGTAATCCTCCTCGTTTTGCTGAGGAAGACCGGCTCTGAGCTAACATCTATTGCCAATCCTCCTCCTTTTTTTTTCCCCAAAGCCCCCATAGATAGCTGTATGTCATAGTTGCACATCCTTCTAGTTGCTGTATGTGGGATGTGGCCTCAGAATGGCTGGAGAAGTGGTGCCTCGGTGCGCGCCTGGGATCCGAACCTGGGCAGCCAGTAGCGGAGCGCGCGCACTTAACCGCTAAGCCACCGGGCCGGCCCAAGAATTCTCAACTTTTATATAATAAAATAACATATCTGTCAATATTTTCCGCTGTCTAATTGGTACCATTTTTCATTGCACTAGAGAGATACACTGTTTTCAAATATCTGAAAACAGCCTTAACACTGTGCAACTTGCAAACACAGACTTGAGCTCTCAAGTGAGAAGGCTAACAGCAAATTGATTCTCTAGTTATAAGACCCACACAGCGTAAAATACATCAGGGACTCCTTCCTATGCCCTACTCACATTCCCAAGTCCTGGATACAAGTGCTCAGTTCTGGGAGGGATGGAAGTTCATGCATCTGTGTCACACAATCCGTCCTTTGTCTGACAGTGCTGCCAGCCAAGGAACCTATTAATGCCAATCATCATGGCAAATGTTAAAAAATAGAGCCTTGTCCACTTAGAACTGGCCCCAGACCACCACCTCATTTTATCAACGTTCAAAAGTTTACAGTTTTCAGAGGGCAACGTGTTTTTACTAATGTCTAAAGAAACAGGAATCATATTTTGGGGTCAAATGGAAAGTGAAAATTAAATGAATTTACTTTTTAGCATTTGAAGCAGGACCATAATTTTTCAGAAGTAGATTTGTACTTTTTGTTTTCGATACTATTGAGTTAGTTTTCGTTGTTGTTGTTATACACCTTAGGATTTCTGATGCCACAATGTATCATAAAAATCAATTAGAAATATAATTATCAGTTTAGAGATGAGGTGATTACACCCTTGAACAGATGAGCTGGTCAAATGTATATTTTCCAAACTTAAGGAACTCACAAATAAGAGTAAACCAATGCGCTTGGCACACAAAACTGGCATCTGTGTGATCCTGTTAAACTAATGTGAAAAGGGAGAGAGCTTGCCATTGAGATTCCTAAGATGACAAGCCATTTTTCACGCAGTTTGGCCAATTAATGTCTGAGTTACCTAACACAGGTGAAGGAGCCTTGTTATTAATACTTGACAATAATCTTGCATTTACTTTTTCTTAAAAATATAGCACAATCTAAAATAATAAAACACTACCAAAGTATAAGAGATTACAGGTTTCAGCTTAAATTTTGTTCTCATACTAGCAAGCATAGAAGAAATATAAAAAAATAGAATGATGTATCTGAACATTTATTAAATAGATTTTCTCTTGTAGAGGCTCTGTTTTACATACACTACTAGGCATAATGTAAAATCGTAAAACCAATAAATAGGTAGACATTTTTTTAAAAGTATAGGATGAAAAACACATATTAAGAAAATCTTGAAATATGCAAATACCATAGAGAAAAATACTTAAATACATAATTCCACTGACATTAGTCCTTGCAAAAATTTTGCTATATATGCAGTCGTTCTTTTTCCATACATATGAATCTCAGTGACAATGAGACTTATGAAACAGAATAGAATACCCACAAATCCAAGAATATAATAAATAAAATTATGTGGTCATGGGAATGATTAGAATATTTAATGAACAGTGAGACAAATAATTATACCAATGGGGGAAAATACCACTGCACAATATACTAAAAAGTAATATATTCAAGCATATTATAATACAAATTAAGAAAGAAACACTTTAAAACTTTATATAAAAATATGCAATGATGTCTTTATGTAATTGCAGTAAGAGTTTCTCAAACAATATCGTGGCCAATATTTTAGAACTTTTAGAAAATATTCTTGTTAAATTAATAGTGGTACTTAATTCTTATTTTAATTTGAATTCAAATCTAATTTGAATTTCTTAAGTTTTGGGTGAATTTACCTGTATTGTTAATGTCATGAATTCTCCATTCTTGAATATTTATGTTTAATATATGTTTGTTTTCTGAAATACAGATGAGTGATTTTTTTAAGGTGTGATATGTTTTTAAGCCTTCTGTCACTGAATAGTTTATATTGCCTTTATAGATGACTGATAGTTTGACTATAAATAGAATTCTTGGATTACAAGTCCATCCCACAAAGCTTTCCCATTGGTTCTTGGATTATCAGCCTCCCTTGTTGCTTTCCTTAAACTTCATTACACCTTTGTAACTAGTGCCCAATTTTCCCTTTGTATTTGCCATTTATTTTCTGCCAGAATCCTACTAATATTCCATACAAATAATGTAGGAAGTAGTAGGATCTCCCCATTTAGAAGTTTTCATATCTCAGAATATTCAAGTTGGAGCTTACTCAGTTAGCTTTCTTCTAGAGAACCCTGGTAGTACAACCTATCATATCGTAACCCTGGTTTAAGGACTATTTGTAGTTTATTTCCGGTGTTGATCAGTCCTTCCTGTTCATGGTCTGTTTACTTTTTTTTGGAGTTGGGGGAAGGATACACCACTTATTTTAAATTTCATGCTTGAAAAAAACCAGTTTATTAATTCCTACATGCATATGTAATAAATATAGAAAATAAAATGCTTTTATACGTCTATAACAAAACACATAGATATTTACCTTATGCAAAAGCATAAATAGAAAAAAGAACTCTAGTCTATCCATATGTCTACATATTTATCTATATATGTATGTATATATGTATGTAAATATCTAGATCACAAAATTTTTTGATCAGTTTATTTCTAGCTAGTATATTTTGTTGTGACTGTTAATAAGATTGTCATTATAGCTTTAAGTGTTTATTGTTGGAACTTAAGAAAACTGTACTTGTATTTTTTAAATCAACAATATATATTTTATGTTAGCTGCAATGTTTTTCACTTGATTTTCTTGGAGTTTCCAAGTTATCTTATTCTTCCTTATGTTTGCTTTATTAGTTTTTGTTCTATATGCTTTAGTTTATTTATTTTAACCCATCAACAAAAATAAATATGAGGCAATTAATTTTGAGATTTGTCACCTCACTCATGTTCATTATTTTTGAGATTATGTTTGTTTTAAACATACTCATACTGGCTTTTAAAAAATGTTATGATTTTAAAATTTCTTATTTTAAAGGCTGCATACCATTCTATCAGATATAACATAAATAATATATAATATATATTTCCTCATACTTTCATTTCACTTTTCCTTTTCTTCAATGTCTTTAAAGGTATCTCAAGTTTGTTTTCCACACCACTCTTCAATTCTGCTTTCTAGATATTTTATTTTAGATTTATTAATAAAATTTTATTTTTCTCCTAGTGCTTATTTACCTTTTCTCTAATTATCTTTTTGCAATCTCTTATTTATATTTTATTTTTAATTTCATAAATGCTATATTTTTAATATTTTACTATGGATTTGAAAAACATTTTAAAAATTTCTTCTGAATCTCTATATAAGACATTTTTGTTAGGAGCTTTTACTCTATCCTTTGTAGTAAACTCTACAGAGAGTGTTTTCCATGACCACTTACATTTACATCACCTGAATATGTTGTTCGAATTGTTCAAATGCTACTTCTCAATGAGATCTGCCATAACCACTGTACTTTTTATTGTAACTTTTACCTCTCTAACTTTTCCAGCCCCATTTTACCCTGTCATATTGTTATTTTTTTCATAGCCCTTATCAACTTGTGACAGTATGTAATTTGTTTTGTTTACTGTTTGGAGCTCCTCCTTACCTCCCACTAGAGTGGAGGCTCCATGAAGGGCAGAGAAGCCTTGGACCTGTGCCTGGAACACAGTAAATGCTCAATAAATATTTTAATTCACACGATTAAAACTCTGAAACCCACTCCAGACTTACTGAAAGAAAATTTCTGGATATGGATTCTGGAATCGTGCATTTTACACGGGTTCTCCTCAATGATTCTTACTCACAATAAAAATTCAGAAATTGTTATATCCTGAAATTAGAGAACTGAATGAAGTGCAAGTATGTGTATTTGGAAAGCTACTCTGGTGACTCTGATACATTTCCTCTCTTCTCACACCCATTGTCCTGGTGGATAGCTAACAGTGCAGTTCTTTTGTACCAAGCTCAGACCTACTCCACTAGTCATGCTGCCACTTGAAATATATTGCTTCCTGCTCAAACTGCCATTAGTAGCATTCAGAATTCCTAGGTCTAGTCCTGCCTCTGACCTTGCCTAGATCACTTACCTTGGTCTGCAAATACAGTGGTACCCACCAGCTTTGGGAACCTCACAAGCTTTCCTGCTCTGTTATTTACTAGACTCTGGC